AAATTAATTTCTTTCATGAACAAAGATCTTGATCTCAATCAGCTTATGTACCCAGCTCATCATTATATTCTTCAACAAGCATGTGATTCGTGAAGAATAGGTTTTAGCAGCTCCTTATTTGAGTAACCCAATACCAACTCTCACGTCTAATTATCTCTGGACTCCTCAAATGCTTTTTCATACCATGTCATATGACCATGTTCTCAATACATACCTCAGGGGGTATAACAGATGATTATGACTTTCGGCCCTCTCTCCTTTTTTCCCCCTTGTAAGTCTTCTTTGAATCCCAAAAAACAAAGAAAAATCATGTGTAACGTAGCACCAAGAATCCCATGCACTAACGTCTAATTCCCTAATTTCCCAATTGTCTCACAAGCAAATTATCTAGATAGCCACTGAACTTTTTGAATAGTCAAGATTTTACCATTCAGCTGTTAAAAATATGTTTTTATCCACTTAATTATCAAATGTGTAAATTTTAGGTCGTTTATCTGATTCCACCGTTGATTTTGCCGGATGTAAGGGTTCACACGATTTACGAGACATACTATAAAAAGTTGGATCTGACAAAGTTAACAGTGAAATCAGACGGAATGATCCAAATTTATATTTTAATAATTCAGTAGATAAAAACGTACTAATTAATAGTTGAGTTGTCAAAACTCGATTATTCATAAAAATTTAGAGGTTACCAAGATAATTTGCTAATTGTCGCCCTGTGTATTTTGGGCGTTGAAGCAGGCCTTCTTCAAGATTTTAGAAAACGAAAATAAGAAAAAAAAAAAAAGAAAAAGCCCAAAATCTGGGGAAGCCATTTTTTGGTTTTCTATCCAAGGCCCACTATTCATCGCCAGGGCCAGTTATAAAGTTCTGCGCTGGTTGAAGACTGGCGGGTGGATGAGCGATGATTTAGGGGTTAATCGCACTTTATCCCATTTAAGTATAGGCCGTTTCTCACTTTACCCCCAACGTTTGTTTTTCCTCAGTCTACCCCAAAAACTAACAGTCAACTCTAATGGACATAAACGAAATATTGAAAAGACAATAATATCCTTATGAAAACATTGAACAACCCAAATACCCATATACGCTGGTTTATGAAATGCAAGTTTCCAAAATTACCCTGAAATAATGGAGGGAAATTTCCCTCCATCTGGCATGGGACAGAAAAAGAAAAAGAAATTAGGGAACAGAACAGACAAAGGTCCCTTTTGACTATGTCGGGTCACTTTCTCTTCCTTTTTTTCTTTGTCGGGTTACTTACTTTCTCTTCACTGGTGCCCGAAAGCCTTAGCAAAACGTCCACTAACAAATTGAAAATTCTGGTGCAATCTTGAATGAAAAAATGGGTAAGCGATGTAGTTGTTAACAGACGGCAGAATTGAATTTGAAGATTGTGAAAGGAGATTATGAGAGCTTGGGCAGATCTATGAGGTTCGATTTTGCAATTTTTTCTCGATTTTAGAAATTTCTAATTGTTAATCAATTTTATTGCATAGAAACAATGGTATGGGTTTTTTTAATGACTGCATGGGCTTTAATATGTAGACAATTATTTGTTTGAAATCTGTTAGTGTGGTCCCTTAAAGTTCATAACAAGTCATTGTCGGTTAGGATGGAAAACGATGGGTTTGTCTTTTTTAATTATTAATTTGCTGGATTTTTTGTTTATTTGGATGGTTATATGTTGGCTGTTATATAGACAAACTAGGATTTTTTTATTTTGTGGGACAATAAAAGATACTTGCTCTGTATTACCTGTGCATGCACTAAAAACAATTACCTTTGTGTGATTACAGAAGAATGGACTTCAAAACCTATGTTTTAGAGGTTCATTACGGAGGCCATTTTGCCTATGTCCCAAATTTACAGTATGTGGGGGGAGAAGTTGCTAATTTTGATGATGTTGACCCTGATTTGATGTCAATTTTTGAGTTAAGAGATGCTTTTAAAGATGCTGGAATATCACATGAAACAGAGGTGTACTATAGGGTTAGGAATCTTGACTTTAAGGTTGGTCTTAAACTGGTAAACAGTGACCAGATTGTTATAGAAATGTTTGAGGCAAATAGAACTCAAAACATCATACAACTTTATGTTGGTGAGATCCCTGAAGAAGATTTGCATGCTGATAGAACTGTTGCAGAGGATAATATTGAGGTTAATGGTAAACAAAATCTAAATCCTAATGCTGATCAACCCCAAAATGATGAGGCCGAAAGTGATGCTTCAGATGCTTCACAGGAAGGTGATAGGGATGGTTGTAGGGAAGTTGAATATGACTCTGACTTTGATTTTTTCCTAGATGGGGATGATTTAAATGATGCATGTGACCCTATAGATGATGTAGAGAGGGATGGTGGTAAAGTAGATTGTCACCTAAAACAGACTGATTATGCTAAGTATGTGGCACTGATTAGTGAAGAATATAATGCATACCTTAACTCCAAAGGTCATGGAAAACTGGTCGATGATGAAGATGTTAGTGATGATGAAATACTTAAACCAGTTTATGATTCAAATGATGAAGGCATGGAGCATGAATTTCCTGAGTTTAACATGGAAAGGGATCTCAAAAATCCTGAATTGACTGTAGGCAGAATTTTTAGCAATATTTATGATTTTAGAGCTGCAGTTAGAATGTATTCAATTTTGAATGGGTTTGAAGTTACCTTCACTAAGAATGACAAAGATAAAGCTGTGGTTATATGTTCAAATAAATGTGGATGGAGAATATATGCTAGTGGCTATAATGGAAGCAAAGTTACACTTCAAGTGAAGTCCATTAAAGGCGTACCTCATAGATGTCCATGGTCTTTCAAGAACAAGAGTGCAAATTCTAGGTGGCTGTCTAGGATGTTTATGGAGGAGATTGCTGACCATCCGGATATGAAAGTAAAAGGGTTCAAGAAGAGCATAAAAAGGAAGTATAACCTGAACTGTACAAACTCTCAAATGTATAGAGCAAGAGAGAAAGCAGAGGAAGCAGTGAAAGGGTCATGTGCAAAGCAGTATGCAAGATTAAGAGACTATTGTGCTACACTTTTACAAAGAAATCCAGGTTCAGTGGCATTTATTGTAACTGAAAAGTCCAATATTTGTAAAAGTCCAATCTTCAAGAGAATGTTTGTGATGTTTACTGCACAAAAAGAAGGTTTTGTAAATGCATGTAGGCCTGTAATAGGACTGGATGCATGTCACCTTAAGGGGATCATGGGAGGACAGCTTATGTCTGCAATTGGTAGGGATGCTAATAACCAGATGTTCCCAATTGCTATGGCACTTGTTGAATCTGAATGCAAAGATAGTTGGGGGTGGTTTTTGGACAGCCTTACTGATGCCATTGGCACTCCAATTGAAAGGGGTTGGGTGTTTCTATCAGATAGACAAAAGGTCAGCACCACTACAATCTGATTTACTTTCCTTTATTCCTCACTCACTCCTTTCACTAATTCTGTTATTTATGTTTTTATGTCAGGGATTAATTGATTGCATTGAGAATAAGTATCCTGGAGTGGAGCATCGATTCTGTGTTAGACACATGTATGCTAATTTCAAACTGAAATTCAAGGATAAGCACCTAAGAGATTTAATGTGGGGGGCAGCCAGGGCTTATTTACCCTGTCATTATGAAAGCAAAATGAGAGAGTTACATTTAGTAGCCCCAGAAGCACATGCATGGCTTAGTTCCATACCAGCTAACCTATGGGCCAGACACACCTTTTCTCCAAGGACAAAATGTGACCTTTTAAGTAATAATATATGTGAGAGCTTCAATCAATACATTAAGGATGCTAGGGAAGAGCCTATTTTGACTATGTTTGAGGCCATTCGAAGACAGATTATGTGCAGATTTCAAGAAAAAAGAGACTGGATTCAGAAGGTGAAGTCTCATATTTGTCCGAGGATCTGTCAGAAAATTGAAGAGAGGAAAAAACAGGTAGCTCAGTTTGATGCACTTGTGTCTACAAGAGAGGTGTATGAGGTGACTGGTATAGTAGGAACTTTTGCTGTTAATGCAGTTCAAAGGTCTTGCACATGTAATGAGTGGGATATGACAGGAATTCCATGTGTCCATGCATGTGCTGGACTTGTGCAAGACAACAAAGATCCATATGCATATGTTGATAATTGCTACTCAGTAGAAACATATGTAAAGGCATATGCTGGTGTTATTATGCCTATGCCAGACCAAACAAATTGGGTGAATGCTAGCAGTGATACATTACTCCCACCTCGTAGGAAGATAGCTCCAGGCAGGCCTAAGAAAGTTAGAAAAAAGGCTCCATTGGAGGACTTACATGTTGGAAAACTATCTAAAGTAGGGCTGCCAATTCACTGCAGTCATTGTGGTCATACTGACCACAATGCCAGAAGTTGCAAGGTCACTGGTTGTTCATTTGTGAGGCAAAGAAAATCAGTGACTGCACAGGTAACTTCAATCAATATATGTTGCTTGGCTTTTTTCTATCTACATCTGACTGTCATTTTTTGATGTATTGCAAGATGCAAGGGCCTACTAAACGAGGGAGAGGAGCTGGTAGAGGCCACTCTACAAATGCTGATGCTGATGTTGAGAGAAATACTGATGCTGATGTTGTGCAAAATGCTGATGTGACTAAATCTACAACTGCAAGAGGCCCAACTAGAGCTAAAATGAGAGGTAGAGGTAGGGGCAGGGGTAAGGGTAGGGGTTCAGACCATAACAATGGGCCACTATGTGGCATTGGACTTTGGAATGGTCAAGGGATATCAACAAGTAAAACATATATCCCATTTGAGTCTAGCATGGTGAGTTCCTTTTGTATTTGTATGTAACTAATTTAATTTTAGACACTTGCAATGATTAAAAACTACCTTTATTATGCAGATTCCAAGTACTTCAAAGACTGGCCAGCCCCCTCCAACCCAACTGGTAAGCCTACATTTTAAAACTCTGCATGCATGGCCATTTTATACGTGCTCACTTATTGTTTCCTATTGATGATACAGTGGACAAGAACACCTACATCTGGTGCCAATTTGAGTTCAACTACTGTTGTTGCTCCCACCAGCGTACCATGTACAAGTTCAAAAGCAACCACTTCAGTAACAACTAAAAGACCAAGAACCAAGTTGGGTGATGCTAAAACTGGAAGTTCTAAAACCAATTCAGGTGCTACTAAAACTGGAATGGTGAGTTCAAGTCTTTTGGCTATGTTTACATGCTACCACCCCTAGTAGTAGTTTGATGCACTAAGATGCCCCTCATCCATGTAGGTTCAAACCAAGAGTATTAGATTTGGAGATGCTGTGTTTTCTACCCAAGGATCTTCAACTGCTGCAACTGGACGTTCAACAGTTATGCGCACACCTGAATGTGTTTTGATGTGAAATGGTGTTGCTGTTGCTATTTTTGTCATTACTAGTATTTGAAGTTACCTTTGCAGCAATGTTAGAAATGCTGATGTTGTTTTTCTTTTCCCATTATTTGGACATGTTCTAGAATCATGTTTTGGCTGGGTTCTACTAAAATGGCCTTTGTTTGGGTGGCCATGCAGACACATGCTAAGATGTAATCTGATGTGTAAAATACTTTTAACTTAATATAATTTTCTTTCATACATATTTGCTTACAACTATGGTAGATAAAGCAGATTTTTGTTACTTTTTGGTTCTGAAATAGAGTACATATACAAAATGCTAGCAATCAGAAATGTAATGGCTAGTGTTTTTCTCCATGATGAAAATCGAGCAGCTTTGACCATCATGTATTGTTGCTGTAGCTGTTGGTTTTCAACTTGTAAGACGCAGACTTCTGTTTTTAAGGCTTCATATCTGCTTTTCAATTTCTCATGCTCATTTGCCAATTTTTCATGCTTCCTTTGCAAGTACATTAGTTTCTCCTTTTGCTCCAGCAATCTAGATTGCAGCACTGCACTTACTTCTTTTGTTTGGCTACATACTTCAGGATCTACCCATTCAAAGTGCCCACATGCGTGTCGGTTCTAAATTAAAAAAATAATTAGTTGTTTAAACTCTTTCTAACTAATTCAGGTATAGAGCAAAATTAAAGACAATATTAACAAATTATTAATGAAAAATTCTTACATTGTAATTTGAGCAGCCGTAAAATCTTCTTCCCGGATTTTCAAGTGTCCAAGACGTGCACAATGGTGCCTCTTTACCACATCTACACATTTTTTGGGGTGATCTTCCAACATCATTTGAAGCACTTTGTGACATTTTATGATGCTTTTGGTTGACAAAGAGAAATTTTAGGAACTTTGGAGAGAAATTTTAGAAACTTTGGAACCTTTGAGAATGTATGAGAAAAATTGGGTGCAAAATACCTCCTTTTATAAAACCCAACCAACGCTAAAACCAACCAACCAACGGCTCTTTGAGGGAAAAGGTAGGCTAAAAGCATCAGACACCATTGAGGGGCATTGTTGTCTGCTAAAACCAACGGCCCTTTTCGTACGGTAAATTCGAAATCTTAAAGTTTTTAACGGTGCAATTGCTGACGGAAGGGGTAAACTGAGGAAAAACAAACGTTGGGGGGTAAAGTGAGAAACGGCCTATACTTAAATGGGATAAAGTGCGATTAACCCGATGATTTATGAGCAAGGAATCTCCAGCGTGAGACTGTAGACTGCAGTATACATATATACAAGCCCGCAGCCCCGGACTCCCCTGGTCACTTTCTCCATTCGACGTGGTCAGTTTCATTTTCATAGCCCTTGGAGTATTGGGTAATACTGGTAATTTTTGCTCGAAAAAGGATGGCTGGAAAAGGTGCAGCTACTCCGGCGACCTACTCTCCATCGCTGACTACGGTCAAGGGCAAGAAAAAGCCCCCCATTTTCGCTGATGATGCCAATTGGGTTCGCTCTGATGGCCGTCACTTCCACCAGTGCAGGCCTGCATGTATGTTGTACACTGATTATATACTGTCTGTTATATTCTGAGTTTTGGCTCTGATTAATCCATGTTTAGGATAGAACTCTGTTGCATGTCATGTTTTTGCGCTTGAATATCTTCAACTGATCTATTACTCCTTTCTCCCCGTGCGGTGAATTTGAATGAATGATTTTCTTTCAATCACTAGAATTTATTTTGGATTGGAAAGATGGGTGCTTGAAAACAACCAGTTTATTTAGTGCTGTGAAAAACCCGGTTTTAGCAAAAAAGACTGAATTTTGGTGCATGTGATAGAAGGGCGTTTGTCTTAAATCTTGGTATTTAGAAAAGTACACCTCTGTGTTTATTGTGTTTTGCTTGTGTAATACCTTAATGTAGACAGTTAAGGTCCTTATCGGGATTGTGCCATTCTTGATGCGATTAAAATTATGTTGAATTATTGGCGTTGCACGGATTATATGAGAAAAACTTGATTGTAGTTGATTGACTTCTACATCTGGAAGCTGATGGTGCTACTGGTTGTGTTTCATCTGTCAGTAGTTCGTAGAGTCCATAGACTTTATCTTTTATGGTCAAGGCAATTTAAGGGGATCACGTCAATATAGTTACAGAGGTTATGCGAGGGAATGACCATAAACAAAACATGGATGGTTGCAAGTAAATGCATAAGTTTCTGGAAAGACAGCAAGGCAATTCATACAACTGAGGGCTTAGAGTGCAAACCAAGAGTATTATGTCTAGAGTCACCTAATTTGGCTTCTGATGAATTTGCAGCATGTTAAGCGTGCTTCAAAAGTCAATTGAGGAAGGAGCCTGTTAAAATTTGTAATGGTTGATGATTAGGTTCCTCTATGTTGAAGGGGCCCATGGCGAAGGATATTCTCATGCCACGTGGTTGAAATGCCCTTTTTATTATGCATGTTACACATGTGGTGTTTAAAAGCACCTTGTTTTGGAGACTTGGAAAGAAAAGTTTTGGCCCTTATTTAACTGCATTTACTTCTTTGATAATAGAGGAGAGCATACTATATTTGTATTTAAGGTTGACAAGAGAACTTATTAATTGCTTTCATCAATCAAGGGGAATGCTTGTCTGCTGGTGCTAGTTCATGTTCACCTTCTTTTGCAAGTATTGCTGGTACTTAACTTGCAATGTTCCATGGCTTGGTTGGCTGTGACCCTAACATCTTTTTGTTCCTTTTGGGCTATGCGTGTAGTAAAAACTTATAATCAAGGCACTTGTTCATTTTTCTGACATCTATATCAAAAGGAATTATGAGTAGTACCTAAGATAAGGTATGGCTCTATTGAAGGAGAAAAAATGTTTTAGAATAGGGAGTCTCAAGCCCAACTCTGATCAATTGACTTGGGAATAAATCTTGTGATGTCTTAAGCCTGTGGAATACTACGTTATATCAGGGCTTGGTTTGTTGAAAGGTAGGCAGACTGGAGAAAATCAGTCTTTTGTGATGTGGTCTGGTTTAACGAACCATTTTCTGGACAACATATTCTGCGACTGTGTACATTGTAGCATGATCAAATTGTTTAACCATCTTCTGTGTGCCTTCTTAAGCTATTGTATCACTGATCATTAATTGATCACTCAGATGTTTGTGACTTACAGTTCTACGGACAAATGCAGTCAATTCTGCCTCTGGATCTGCTTATGCGGAGTTTGGAAACACCAAGGTCATAGTGTCAGTGTGAGTATGTAGCTTAATTAGCAGATGTTCTTTTATTTCATTTTATTGTATGACTTAAGTAAGTAGCAGATTCTCTGCTACAATTCAAATACTGGTACCGTTGTATCTGAGGGTTATTTCATTAAATGGTTTAGGCCTCTGCTTAGGGTGTTTCTAGTTGTCTAGGTAGAGAAGAAAAATGAAAAGGATGAAGAAGTTTAGTGTTAAACTTCCTCCAAAATAGTTCTTTTGTTTGTACATCTTGTCATCCTTGACTTTCTCTTTCTATTCTTCTGTTCTGAATCAAAGGTGTGTGAAGAGTGAAAATAAGGAAAAAGCAACATAATCATTTGTTCATCAATTTTCACGGAACCAGCTTCTGAGTGTTTTCTTGCATCCTGTTCTACATCTGGAAGTTGGTTTTGCTATCAGATTATGACTAAATTTTTCTGGCCATTGTTAGATTTGGGCCAAGGGAGAGTAAGAAAGCAATGATGTACAGCGATGTAGGTCGGTTGAATTGTAATGTCAGCTACACAACTTTTGCTACTGTCCACCGCAATCAGGTAAACTTTAGAGCTATCTAGAACCCTTATAGTGTCATGAACTTTTCCTTCTGCTTTACATCTTTCCTTGAGAATTTTCTCTATAACTAAAATAAGGCTTCTTATGCATTAGGGATCTGATAGCAAAGAATTATCATCAATGCTGTATAAAGCTCTGGAGGGTGCTATAATATTGGAATCCTTTCCTAAGACAACTGTAGATGTTTTTGCTTTGGTTTTGGAATCTGGTGGCAGTAAGTTTGAGTTCTACGTTGTGCCTACGGAGTAAGTCTGTGATGTCGTAGACTTGGAACTGATGCGCGGTATTGGCAGGTGATCTTCCTGTGATTATCTCATGTGCCAGTCTTGCTCTAGCGGATGCCGGGATCTTGTTGTATGACTTGGTTGCCGCTGTTTCTGTGGTATGATACGAGAAATGCACTCTTATGGCAAGGTTTTAGACTAGATGATACCAAATATCTACCATGGTTTGACCTCCAGCACTGGCTATAAAACTGATTTTGTTGATACTATACCACACAGGGTAGGAGAGTGGATCGTGATCAGTGTTGTTATCCTGTTTCTACCTATTGCATTTGTCATCACCTAGATAATCATGTTATGTTAGGAAACAATTTTCACCTCTTGAATCCTGTCAATTTTCTGTATGCTCTGGATGGCAGCATTGTGATAGCACAGTGGAGGGAAATGAGGTTGGTGAGATATTTCCTCTGAAAACATGTGTTTTGTGTATTTCGTGAAAATTTTTCTTTGAGGCTGTGTTGCCTGTTCTTTAGGCGTGATCTGTTTTGTTATGTAGGTTGATATTTCCCTGTGGCTAATCTTACGAGAAAGACAATGTTACACACGACCATCTTTTGCTGTTCCTCCTTTTTATTAGCTTCATGCAACTTTGTCCAAGTATATGTGAGAAGCTTTTTATTTACAACCTAAAACACCTCCAAATGGATTTATTTTTGGATCCTAATTATTTGCTAATTGTTATGACTTATAGCCAAGACTTCAGGCTCCTTTATCCATTTGCTTGCGACACTTTTTCAGTGTGGCCTTTTACCTTGTCCTTGAAGAAGTTTTCCCATAACAATTGATGCACGGTGTTCAGGTTGTTATCTATCTGCCATCCATCCAACTTTAGCAATATGTTTGCTATGCAAACAGTTTACCTGCAGTGGTGGGCTATTTGGGGAAAATATATTATGATACTGCATCTGCTATCAAAGAATTTCCTTTAGTAATTGTTTCTATGAACTATTATGATACTGCATCTGCTATTGGTGAAGTATTCATATTAGATGTGATTCTTGTGTGGTGCGTTAACTAAATTGCTTTGTTTTCCTGTTTATAGTCCTGCCTTGGAAAAAACCTTGTCATTGACCCTATTTTAGAAGAAGAAAGCCACCAAGATGGGAGCTTTATGATTAGTTGCATGCCTTCACGTAATGAGGTCACTCA